CGTAGGCCACGGTAGGACCTCCGAGAGGGCTCGGCGCTGGGCTAGCAACCTCGGAGACTGGGGCAGTCTCAGGCCTACCAAGCCCGTGTGGCAGTTGAATACGAGCATAGCGAGCAAGCAGAAGACCCCGGTCACTTAGCTCACGCCGCTGGGGTCGCTCCACCGAGCAACCACCGATGCGGACGTCGGTGGGATTATTCCGACGGCGCAACAAGCACAGAATAAGGCTACATTCAATCTTTTTCTTTTTCCGATTGTTGTAGCTAGGCCAGAAAGCGTGGACGACGCCCGTTTTAGATTCGGGGGGTGCTTGTATGGAATAGACCATTATATCATCAGAAGAATTCTGGCCTTGAAGTTTGACTGAATTTTTTTGAAAAATCTTTTTTTCAAGCACAGTTACTAAATCTGTCTTCAGGTTACTTCTGTACAGCAAACCACTTATACGAGCAGAATATAGAAATGATCAATTCCATTGCTTTTCAATAACTGCAGAGTAGTTGGCCCATCCGACAGTTCCAATAGTTTTTATCTGTAATGATGATTTATTATATACCTTTACCATAAATGGTATTCCATACACAAATGGCCTATGAACTTACACTTATATGATTTCTAATATCCATGTTTCGCTTATTTTTCACTTTCCTGATGTAAAGCATTGACAGCACCGGTAGCGCTAGTGTGTAATAATTGAAGAGCTTTAACGAAGAGCATTTTTGAGCACATAGAATATAGCAATAGAACTGCAGAACTTAAAAGGGGACACGGCCTTCGACGCTGATCAATTCCCATTGTTGAGATGTGCCCTAGCATTCGACTTCCACTCGGAGTTGTAGTGGCGTGTTGAATGCGTATGGCGCATACTGAAGGACTAGCTGATGAGCCTTATCCTCCCAGATTAGTCTCGTCTTAACTGGACTACCCCTACGGATGGAAGGCTGCCTTGTTCTAGGCGAGTGTCAATTCGGGATTCGAACCCGGACCATGTGGGATGATGCCGCGCCACTCCGGGTCTACCCATAGGTATGTTTGGAGTGTGTAGCATCGTCATGATAATATGTGGTCTCGATCCGGCATTCATTCCCCTGACCTTGTGCGCGATAGTGGCACCCCCTGGCTTTTCACCTGATCCACTCTAAAGCGAGAGGCCAAGTTTATCACTTTAAAACGGTAGGCATGGAATCTAAATTAATAATTATTAGTTGAAGTGGGAAGTGTCGGTGGCTGTTATTTTGGAACGAAAACGGGCAACAAGGACGTTAGTATAATAGATGTCCTGAGGACTGGCTATCAAAATTGCTCACATCAGCGTTCTCCTTGTAAACAGTTACCAGAGGATTTTCTGATTCGTAAATCCTCAAATATAAAATCAGAGCTTGTGAGAGGAATAATGCCGTGAACTGACAAGAAGAAATCATAAAAAGATAGTTCGATACAATCGAATTTTCCATTGCTTGGAACTTTGTTGACAACGACATGCTGTAAACACATTGAACAATGCAATAATAAACAATTATGAAAAAAATTGATAAATTGTGGGTTGAAGTTTTGGAATTAAACGCGATGAAATCGAAAGCATGACATTTTTTCCCTGTACTGAGGTAACATACCTTATTCGTCGTTTGGGGCTGAGATAATGCAGTGCCACAGTTAGTACAAGACCAATGAAGTTTACAATCAACAGCGACATCAGCACTATATTTGTTCTAACCACATCTCTTATTGACATCCATCGACCGTTCAGATGTGGTAAGTCGAAAGTTTCACCATGATATATTATCCAAAGGATGAAACCAGTAATAGTTACCTTAAACAAATCACATTACCAAGAACTTCAACCCGAAATCCTACGGAGAATCAGACTCTTATCGAGGAATAATGTCAACGTCTCGTTGCCAGCCACTTCTATCGAATCCAAGAAAAATATATCTTTTTTTGACCTTAACAAGTGGGGCATCTGCTCCTATAAGCTTATGCGAAATCTCACTGCAGCTGTAATGAGTACTGGTCCAACTTTCCGATAATTAGATTCATAGTTGCCCACGAAAACAATCGCAGTCCATCGTTCAATTACAATAGAAAACTGTATGAATTGAGACACAATAAGCACGAAAATTGTAGGCAAATTCATTGCAATGAAGAGTGGATCTGATAGAAATAGATCGCATGGCTTTGTATACAGAAACGACAGGGCAAAGTGATGTGTCTGAAATTGAACGTATATAATATGCTTTGAGGAGAAAGTTCCGCATTGTTTGGTTCAGACAAGAGTGTGGTTTTCTCATTTACAACTGGGAATCCTCACCCCATCGGTTCCTTAAGGTGTTCATCCACAGCTCTGGGAACCTTAGGCCTCTCTTTGTAATTTGTTCCGATACCCCCGGACGGAAAGATTGCAGTGGCAGGATATTTTACGCATGCATTTTCCGATGATTGAATGCCGAATTGAAATTTGCCTAGGCCTACAAGCCTCCCATCCCTGCAGGTTCTGGTAATCAGTATCAACCTCGATGGGGATGATAAAACGACTGATTAGTACATCGGCTGAACACCGTTGGTCATTGTGTAGGGCAAATACATATTTAACATGCAACTACATACAATTCTGGATAAAACCCGAATGCGGGACCCCAACCAAGTAAACGGGGTTATTGCCACATTAGACTTTGCATAGAATCCATCTGCCTTACCTTTATGACAAAGTTGAAAATGTCGTATGCTAGGCAAGACAGACACATTGAGAAGAAGAGCATCTGAAATATGGAAGCATCTTTCTCAATTTCATTTACAGTGGACCACTCACTTTTTAATTTAAAAACCATTAACGGACACAAAAGCCGTCCAAACTTAATGATGAAGCCAACAATACAATGAAACAGGCTTGGATGCCTCAGTATTACCCTTAGATTGTTATGAAAGAATGTACTGTAGCCATAGCATTTGTAAAAGAAGTACAGCATATGTATAGTCGATAAGAATGACGTGGTGAATGATATAGCCAGTGAAAACTGATAATACCATGCAGTTGCAACATTAACAGCATACTGAAGTAAAATAAGGCCAGCTTTATGACGTTAAGTAAGCTTGACAAAAATTTGGAGGTCTCTAGCTCCCAATTTGCTTTGGAATGTCGGAAAATTGACCCACCTCAATACAGTATTCATCTGTCAATTCGTCTTTAGTCGCAGTGGTTGAAGTCATAGTTCAGAAGAAATTCTCTCTTCTCTCCAAGAAATTTAAAATAATATAGCTCCAGCAGTAATCTTGAAAAAACAGGCAATTCCTGTTGAGCAATCAAAAAACGGCCTAGAAAGAATAGAATTGGGGCTCAAAACTTGTTTTCTTTGTGTTTTGAACATCCTGACGAGGCTACATACATCAATCAGAAAGTTGAATTGAGACACCTACCACGGCAAAAGGCAATTTTTTGAAGTTTCTTCCTGACGCCAACTCTACGCAACGACACACATGTGGCATCCCATGTCTTTTCTGTGGTCCAATCCCGTACATCCTTCTTTTCTCACTTTTTTCTCTTTTGAAATGCTTTCTCCGCCGCTCTGCATAGTCCCAACTGGACTAATCGCGCCAAGAAAGTCAAACATGGACTATAACTCCAATATCTCACTTAACTTAGCATGGCGAAATTCTCATGAACTTTTAATTGATTAGAAGCCAAGGCGTCTTCACAGATATAGTGAGACCGATCGTCTCTTCGTGAGCGTAGGAGGGCAGATGTCATACATGAGTGCTCTACGAATTATCTCTGAACCCTTCAGTACTATGTCATAGAATGAAAAATCACGTGCCTCAGTCTGTTAGGTACGTATTTCATTTGATTAGGAGGTATTGTAGAGGCCAGTAACGCACTGTGGTCAATTACTGGCACCAGCTTTGCCTGGAAAGATAGTAGCACCGGAAATTCCTCAGAACCACAAAAAGCCATCAGTACATAAAGCGATTCGTGTCGCTTTCGCTAACTGCTGTTATTTCTCTGGAAGATCTTACAGCTTTGAGAGTATTGCGAGCAGATTCTCGAGCTGTAGAACTTAGAAATCACTCTGCATGTAATAATGTTTGTAAATTGTGTGATGTTACTTATGCAGTATTTGAGTAAGTGGAACTGAAGTTCAGTTATCTTGAGTGGTTATCGAGAGAGATAGGACAATCCGGTCCACAATAATTGTTACTTAAGACGATGAGTTTTTGGCATAAGGCCAAGAAATTTAGGAAAACTTTTATATCAGCACAAACGATGAAATTTCATAGAACAGCAACAGACTCGACGAAACGCAATAACAGCTACTGCGGATGTTTAGAAAAAACAAATGCAAACTATCCTACGGTATCAACAGACACCCTCATAAATTGCTCACAGGAAATTTATTGTTGAACCAATCATACTTGGGATAAGACCAAACATTGGTGTAAATAATAAAAGAAACTCTCTCTTGTTTTCACACAAAAGTCCACTGTCAGTCGTATTTCATGGACATACCGTAATCATAGAAAACATCGTATACCTTCAGAGATGTATAGGATGGCACAAGATGACTACAATTATCAGCTTGATGACTAGGTGACCGCGCATATTCTGGGTATGCTATATCGTCACCTCTGTCACATGGTCTACAACCAAAACAAGGTATTAGCCTTCCGAGATAGTTGTTGGAGTATACCTAGAAAGTCACTCAGTTCCCTAGAGTTTCCTAGATGCTAACCTTGTACTTCAGGACAACCTGGACAACAATTCCATCGTTTCATAAGCGAGTAGTCTTTATTCCTTCAATACACTACTTTTCTTTCAAAGGTTCTACTCAGTTTTGCATTTGTGCTCGTCTAGTGGAGGACCAGATTATTTTGAGACTCCGCAAAGTTTGTGAATGTAAGAAATGATGCATATGACCTGGCTCTGTGAAATCACTGTAACGTGGGTCTTGAACCCCAGTTGCGAAGTCGATGAGCGAAACAAATCCATCAGCTAATCGAAGAAACGTATTCCACATTCCATTGAGCGTGTGAAGGGGGGAGGGGGTTAAGGGAAAAGGTCTATCTCATTTAGATTACCCGAGGGCCCCTACAGCAAGCTCAAAGAAACTATCATCGGAGCTGCACCTCCTTCTAGTGTTGAATTTGTTATCCAGTGATCCTCACAAAGTTCAAGTTCTGCCTTTAGTCAAGGGGGTCGGCTTTTCTTGAGGAACGTGGCAACATTTTGAATGAAGACATGCATTTGATCCTACAATGACTAATGGTGGCTGGCCGATGTACCAATAAGAGCTTTCCTCCTCGTGCACGAGTCTGATACCAAATAGCCAACACAGAGATGAAAGGCTTGGTGGGCCTGCCCTTACTGATCCAGGGACCGCTCTCCAGGTCCATAAGTGTAGATCGGTCCCAGGGCCGGCCCTATGCTCTTGCGCCACTTCGCTTGGCGCTCTTACCCTAGCGGGGGCCTTCCATGGCGTCCTTTAATGTTAGCCGCTACATCACATCAAGCCTTCGAGTTCATTCACAGAAAAATAATTTTGTGCTTTGCATATAGAAGAGTCTGTGAATATGAGTGCGTGTCACACAGCTTTATAGGTGGAAGCTATACCTTTATTGAGCCTTGAAAGGGAGTTTTAGTCATAAATCAGACATAGAAAACAAGACATTTCAAGAATTATGATACAAAGAATTTTTACAATATTCGAGCAAAAGCGTATGCTGAACAGGACGAAACAAACAATTATTGGCAAATGATTTTATTTTCGATTACACTCTGGTGCAGCGTACATCTTTCCTGGATTGGTCATGATCCCGGCGATGATTAGTCGCCTGCAGCGAAGTACTGTTAGGTATGAACGGTGTAAGATCATTTCCATTGCTTCTGGATTACTGTCAAATAATTAGTCCAACCTTCGTTCCCTACAGCTTTCATCTGTAAAAAGAATTGTTTACAGTAAACGTGGCATGAGGAAATCTGAATAATCAATGAGAAAATAACAAATCTCTAAAATCTTTACATTTATATTTTTCCTTATATGAGTAATTCGTTGTTGTTTCGCTTTCCTGATGTAAAGCATAGATAATATTGGAAGCGCTAAGGTATAATAGTTGAAGAGCTTAAACCAAATCAATTGTTTCTTTGGATCATTTTTGAAACACCGCAACTTCCAAGGAAAAACATTGAAGCGCTTTATAAAATTTCCTCCATAAATGGGTAACGTACATCGGCATTTTCCTTGTAAGCAGTTACCAATGGATTTGACGATTGGTAAATCCTTAGATATAACAGTGCGGCTTCGGATAGGAATAGCATTGCAAATTGAAAAACCGAAATCCAGAAGAGGAAGTTTGAGACGGTTGTGTTTTCATTTGCTTGCAGTTTTGATGACAACGACATACTGAAAATAAAATTCTTCAGAGTACTGTAATTTTTGGAGTTTTTTTTTTGCTCAGGCGCTCTCCCACAGAAGGTAAAGGCAATTAGTTTCTCTTCCTTCATGGGTGCTGCATTGGGGAGAACTGGAAAGCATGTAGGGAAGTCTGTAGAAAAGGTCATTGTCATTAGTCGTACGTTAACGATAGACTCTATAGCTTTCATTATGTTTTTCATTGGCATCCAAACATTTTAGAAAGGGAATCATTTTTCAAACTGTTGAGCTTATATTTTAGATCATGTCATTCAGAACTACGCAGACACCAAAAGGTGTTGGAAATTAAAAGTTGAAAAAGGAAGGGAATGGAAAAATAGCAATTCCATCGCCATTGTTTTGATAAAAAGTAAAGTCAAAGTCAAAGTACAATGGTCATCGCCTGTTTCATCAGCATGGCTGAACAGAAAACATTCATAAAATGAAGGGTCGATGGAAAAGTCGATGCTTAAATTCGTCATGAGCTGAATCAAAATTCGCAAGGTGTGCCGTATCAACCCTACCCATGAAGAAAAAAGGGGTAGATGAAAGAAATGGTCGGATGGAATAAACTTACCCAATTTTTCGTTTTGGGCCAAAATAACGCAATGCCAAGGTTAGAATGAGACCAATAAAGTTCATTATAAGTAATGACATCAACACCATATTCGTCCGAACTATATCTTTGACTGAAAACCATCGGCCATTCAAATGGGGTCCGTTGAATCTCTCGCCATAGTATGTGATCAGTAGGATGCAAACAGTTGTAAGTATCTGAATAAGAAAAACCCTGTAAAACCTTCGGTATAGACGAATTCAATGATCACTCACTGCTGCAGCAATCAGTACTGGGCCGAGTTTCCGGAAGCATGATTCGTAACTGATCCTGTAGAAGTTTGCAATCCACCTTTCGGTAATTACAGCAAGCTGCATGCATTGCGATGCAACGAGTACGAAAATTGTAGGTAAATGCATAGCAATGTAGACTACTTTAGGCAGAAATATGTTGCACGGTTCTGTATACAGAAACGATAAGCCTAGATGATGAATCTGAAATGGTATAATCATATGAAACACAAAGGATAGTGCCCTTAGGCATTGATTAATTCTGCTCTCAGGGTTATCTTCCCCTCCTTCCCCTCTGAATTAGTTGCTACGTCTAGTGGCGTGTGGATTGGGGCCTGTACAGAGATTTTCGGTGGCTCGCGTGAACATCCTCCCAGACGATTCTAGTACCAATAAACCGACCACGGATGAGTGGAGCTTAGTTGGCCTGGGCGAGTATCAATCCGCGTTCAATCCCAAAACATGTGTGTGCGATAGTGCATCACTCATAAAAGTATATGGCCCAGNACGGACCAGGTAAGGAATCCGCTGAGTTTCGGCTCGCCTTATTTAAAACACTATTGAAGATCGAACATAAAACTAAAAGGTTTTTCAAATTGGCTCTACCTTCATAATAATATTCATGAAGTCATACATAAGGCAACAAAGACACATTGAGAAGAAGAGCATCTGAAATTTGTGCATATAACGATCCAATCTTACGGTTTTTCCCATACTGAATGAGAAACACCTACACAAANCCCCTCCTTCCCCTCTGAATTAGTTGCTACGTCTAGTGGCGCGTGGATTGGGGCCTGTACAGAGATTTTCGGTGGCTCGCGTGAACATCCTCCCAGACGATTCTAGTACCAATAAACCGACCACGGATGAGTGGAGCTTAGTTGGCCTGGGCGAGTATCAATCCGCGTTCAATCCCAAAACATGTGTGTGCGATAGTGCATCACTCATAAAAGTATATGGCCCAGGACGGACCAGGTAAGGAATCCGCTGAGTTTCGGCTCGCCTTATTTAAAACACTATTGAAGATCGAACATAAAACTAAAAGGTTTTTCAAATTGGCTCTACCTTCATAATAATATTCATGAAGTCATACATAAGGCAACAAAGACACATTGAGAAGAAGAGCATCTGAAATTTGTGCATATAACGATCCAATCTTACGGTTTTTCCCATACTGAATGAGAAACACCCACACAAATGTGACCCACGAAATGGAAACCACTGAAATAATTAATTTCTGCAAACCCTTAAGTTGTGTTGGAAGAATGCACTGTAGGTAGAGCGATTATGAAGAAAATGTAGCATATGGCCTACAGATACTGTAGAAGTGATAAGCGAAAACAGTAATGAGGCCCGGTAATACCATGCAGTTGCAGGGACAACACCATTCTGAAACTAATAAATACTCTTCACTATCCCAAGGATATCAGAAAAGTTTTATATTGTAATTATATTTTGCAATCAGTTGGCACAAGATGTTGATATTATTTTTATTATTTATTATATGCACAAAGACATTAAGGAAACTTGGACAATAGTTCTCAGAACAACTAAATGAAAAAAATAAATAAAACAACTTGAAACTGAATCCAATATGTCTATTGAAAGAAAGATGAAATGAAAATGAGCTCAGAAGAGCATCCAGTCCAAGACTTAAAAATATCTCTACCTCAATGCAGTATTCCAATGATAAATCCTGTTTATTTGATCCGCTCGTTTGCATACTCAAATTGTTCTGAAATTTTTTTATTAATTTATTCATTACATAACAAGTATGTGTATTTGCTAAGCTGAAAGAATACACGCAAATATAAATGACGAAATTATATAAATAAAATCAAAGTGCGCTAAAGCTTCATTGGAGTACTTCACTAAGTTGGGCTTACAGGAACGAAAATTCAGTCCGGCACTCGGCTCTTACAGTAATCCGGCACGTGTTAACACNAAATACGACCCGTCGAAAAGAGGCTTTGGGCAAGCCAGGGGGTTACTGTAAGAGCCGGGTGCCGGACTGAAGTTTCGTTTCAGTGTTGGGCTTTGAGGCTGGGTTGTCAGCGTTTCAAGGGAGAAGATGTTCGGATTTCGATCATACAATAGTCAGAAAAAACTTGTAAGCGAGTCATATCAAAAATTTAATGAAACCATATCCAGCTCCATATCCAATTTGGCTGATGGTGAACGGTTCATTAGTGGTGGGCGTGTACATATTCATTGCTGCACTATTACGGAGGTTTTCTTAAACAACGACCGGCACTCTAAAGAAGATGCTGAGGGCTGATTCGTCCCATTGGTATTACCAGTTAGGAGCTATGATGGCAAGTCGGAACAAGTAGGTTTTTTCCTATTCCACTACTAGAAGCATGCGAGATGGCAGGTTCTGTTGGATAGGCAATTTTGTAGGGATGATCAACTTCCCCGAATTAATTGTTATTGTCCTTGCAGTAATAGAGATATGCAGAATGGTGAATAGCAATGAGTTCAGCGCCATCTTCTTTATGAAGTGACAAGATAGTAAAAGTCATGACAATGTTGAGCAGTGATTGCGGTTTAAAGAACAAGAAGTTTCTCTTCAAGAGAGCTTCATATGAACTACGTAGAGTTATTGTGTTATCGCCGTGTAGTAAACTATTATAGAAGGTCAGGTGAGAAAAATTCTATGGCTACTATTCATATTCAGCTGCCTTTCTTAGAAGCTTGTCAGAATAATAAACTGAAAACAACCCGAACTTTTTGAATTTCACTCGCTAATTTTCTATAGATGAATTATCACTGATTACTCCGGCCTGATGTGTCACAATAATCTTCGAAGAAATGGAAAGACCATTCGGTTCCATGATCAGATATAGAAAGAAAAAGTTTAGAAGGGTATCAAAAAAGACAAAAGTAAAAGTGAAAGAAGGCGCAATAGGAAGGAATACAAAGACACTGACGGGTAGAAATTGATGAGTTTGGAAAATGCAAAAATCTCTGCAGTCTACCAAGCTGACGCACAAATACTCTAGGATGAGAAACTTTTGAACTTGGAAGATTAGAACCTTTGAAGTTACGAATTGGGATTGAAATGAAGCTGAACCGAGTTGGAGAAGTTGCTCTCGCCTTGCAATGCTTTTTTTATTACCCGTGGATAATAAAGGGTAAAGGATAGAACCTTTGGGCATTCATTAATCCCGCCTGAAGGATTCGCCAACGCATTCGACTTCCATTCAGAATCGTAATGGCGTAATGAATGCGTACGTGGCCTAAACAATGTTGGCCAGACGATATATAATGGTCAGTGCTCTCATCAGTTGATAAAGGGTGGTAATTCTTGACAATACCATGCATGTAGTGGACTGCTAATCAAAAATTACATAAATGTTGCTCATAAATTACATAAACTACTTTCTCGTTGATTAGGTCTGATATGTCAGCTGATTTTTGAGTAATGGTTCGGTAAACAGTGTTTTGGAATGTCTTCTAAAGAGAACAGTGTATGTACATAACGAATGTGTACCGTGTGTAATTCATTCTGTCATGGCGTCTGCTTAATTAATTCTAGTACGGTTAACAATGTAACAATGATCAAGCAAAACATATTTATGACATATTTGTTCCATTGAAAACATCATTAGGCGAATAACAGCGATTTATGGCACCCACGTGCCATTCCTTAATAGGATTCTGACTGTTCCAGTTGAAATTCATAGGCAAGGCCGAGTCCTCAGAGAAATCGCTCTAGAATAGCGACACTGTGGAAGATATTTTCATCACACCTGGATTTCGAGGGCTGCAAGAACCTCTCCAGGAATGAATACCTTTTTGACAAGGTTTGAGCTCAAAAGATACGGTAGATGGAAAGAGAGGATATACATAGATTACAAGAGCTTTAGAGTTTCAACGTCTTGACTTCGAAAAGTACTAAAAAGGGAAGGAGGACAATCGATTTGTCAGGGTATCCCTCCATACTGTCTGCTAATGTTTTTTCCAACCCCGAAAAACATAACAGGTTGCGTAGAAAAGTATGTATTTGCAGGAAATTTCACAGTAGTCCAGATTTTCCCGAGAATTTCTGAAAACTACCAAAGAACTGCCACAGTAGGAAACTATTTACTCGCATGCGCATAACAAATCAGGAGATTCATGACACCGTAATCGACTGATCGAATCGATGTTAGTCTTGGATCTTTTTATCATTTGAGTTGTAAAGCATTGGAACGTAGTGTGCACAAAAATCCTCAGGGGCGACTTCAAGGGCGAATGCTTGAGAGAACTTTCAATAAGTTCCAGCATTCGAGTGGCAGTATTCGAACTCGTAAGAGAGTACGGGTTTGCGCAGACTCGTAGGTAGTTCCATCAAATAGAAACCTTCTTGGAGGTCCCAGAAATCACAGCATGAAATTCTGATTTTTGCGAAATTCTCGCCATATTCTTTCAGCACAATACAGTAGTTGAGGTTTTGGCCGGCATACCCATTTGATTGCCAACTGGATTAAAGTCAGATTAGGTTGAGCAGCCTCAGTCTCCTTTGTCTAAAGCCACGTGGGATTCGGAAAAAACCGAACTGGGCAACACAGCCATGACACACCTTGTAAACTCTCTATGAATGAATTGTCGCTAATTGCATGGGTTGAGTTGTAGCAGGAAACAGGGGGGAAACTAACAATACGATTGGATTTGTTTTTCTCCCAAGCTATCATCATTTGTTATCATTTGTCACTTGTTTTGTATTGTTTTTTATCGTAATACCTTACGATACAAAGTCGAATGTTATCACGAGTACATACGCTCCGCCATAAATTGAACGATCATCCTCAGATGGGATTCAAATCCAAATTTGTACTTCCTGGTGCTCCACATGCTGTCGAATGGTTGGGCATCTGTGGCCCAGATCTCTTCAGTTTGGTAAGAGAGTGGTGCTCGGAAATTCCATTGTCGGGTTCGAGTCTCGCCCGAGTTGGAGGATTTTGCCTAGGAAAAAGAAACTTGTTCCCAAGAATGAATTGCAATCCGTAGTCCATAACCTTCCATTCCTCCCATAATCCTGTTTTTTTTTTGAAAGATGTTGATAACGTTGCTCTACAAAGTAGTTTGCAACCTATAAGTGTTTTCTATATTACTGTAAGCTTTTCTCGCTGTGTCGGTTGATGTGAACTATATGATTAATCTTCATAATTTCCATCCTCTCTGAAATTAGTTTTCCATATTGTTTTCCAATGGACCTCAATTATTCTTTCCAATGGACCTCAATTATTCCCTTCAACCTGTTAATTTTATCAGATGGCCCATTCCGACTAACTATAAGGAAGTTGGTCCATGATTGAAATGATGTAGTGAAGTATTGTGTTGGGGTTCCTTCTCACTTTCGCAGGTGTTTCAGTTTCTTGTGCCTTTCTACATCGGGCTGGCCCGATTTTGTAGATGGAAACAACATTCTGCAAGTAGCGATAATTTTCTAAAAATCATTCACATTATTTTGTTCTCTGGCATAATTTTTCGTACAATTTGTAATTTTATTGCAAACTGTAAACAAGTTATATCTGCCGGCGGTAAGTTCTGCTAAATAACTAATTCTGTTCGAGCGATTTTTCGCATGACATACATACAGGGGCTGCTCGCCTTTTCAAACTTAATTGAAACGTCTGTCTTTATTCGAAAACAACCTGGAACAAGCAGTCGAAAAATACTCATCCAATCTGCTACCTTCTTCATCTTCTCCCTAGCATTAATCCCGCGCAGTCGCAGGATCCGCTGTTCTTGCCAGCCGTCTCTACTTCTTTCTATCCATGGTATCTTCTGCCGATACTTTAGCTTACATGAGGTTATTCATGTAATCACGCCAACTGTTCTCTGAGATTTCTCATTGTCGCTTACCTTAAACCGCAGCCTACCTGCTTGTCTGTCTGTCTGTCTGCCTGTCTGTTTGTTTATGTTCAAATTACAATGACGAGACCGAACAACCTGCAACCACATATGACCGGTGATCACAAATGATAATCACTGATTAAAGCTGATAGTAACTGCCACTAGCAAAAAGTAGGAGTAAGTGTATTGGTGACGTTTTTCGTTTCAATAAAGCTGGCTTGCTTCCTGTTGTGATACCTGGCTGTCTAGATTCTATTAGTAGCCTATTTTGTACAACCCATTTCTCTGTTTGAATAGAATCCGAAATGCTATTGTAGTTCATGCTGATAAGCAAGCAAGTTATAGTAAACAAGTACAGTTGAAATCGTTTCGCGAATTTTCATTTACAACAAAACAAGTATACATTTGTCGGTTTGAATTTGGTTTGCATTTTCCAGTACGTAACGCAGTATCGACATGATAGACTATCGTTTTTCATTGTCGATAGTAGGTCGAATCGCTGAAAAAAACGATTGATGGGAAAATTTTAGTGGAAGACACTATGCTCAAGAAAGCTGTACCATAAAGATAAACAACTATTCAGCAATGAAATGGAAAACGTTACTTCTTCATCGAACAGATATCTCTCAGTATGGATCTCCTGCTACAGTAGCGCTCAAAAGTATTTGGCCAACTTTAACATGCCGTAACTTTTTTCCCAGTGGAGCAGATCACATGAAATTTTGATATGTTTGACTGAAGCATATTTCACACTATCCAACACTATTTGACTGCAAAGCAGCACTGTCAACATAACTAAGGGGAAGGCGTTTGTAGACAATGCTAAAAGCAAGTTTGTGCCATTGCAGTTATTCGCACCTTATTTGCGTACTTCGCCTCTTCTGTGTTCCGCATAAGCGCTCGTACACTTTGGACATTTTAAAAAGGGAGGAAATCCTAGAGGCAGCAATGTTTCTATTTTCAGTTGATTTTAATTTCAAGCTCTTTGGGATATTTTGAACATGATCAAAATGCAGGTTGTTAGTGGTAATTATTCACAATACACCCATGCTATACATACCGAAATTTCGCATGATTAGATTCAGTAGGATAGGAGTTACGACTGATAAGTTCGAGTGAAGAAGCATTTGGCCGAATTCTT